CTCCCAGAATTCCCCAGCCAGCATGGTTGGGTGGGGAATTCTGGGAGTTGAAGTCCACACATCTTAAAGTGGCCAAGTTTGGACAACACTGGCTTATGGAGTTATGGTGGGAGAGATCTGTTCCCAGGAGAATTCTGGGCATCCTTCTACTTGCTGATATTACAAAAAGTTGCTTGGAAGCTCTGTAGTGTAAAAACTGGAATAATGTTACAATCCAAATGCTAGTGTTTTCTTACTACTCCAAGATAGTAACGCTATTGGTAGTAATACTGTTTTAGCACAAGAAGTTCAAATGATCTCTCTCCCTTTCTCTCTCCTCATGCTTATTGTGTCAGGTAGGGGTTATAAACGCCCACATAATTGAATCTGCCTTGGACAGTTTCTTCTCTTGCACCCTGGCCTGGTGTGTAATTCCATTTTTTCTTGTAATATGTCTTGCTTTCAGGGTGATATCGAGAAATAGGAAGATTATGGAGTGAAATGAAGGGTACTGGCCTCCTGTAGAGTGGAAAACCTGGTTATTTCTAGACGCTGGGATTTTTTTACCTGCCTCTTTTCCTATCCCCCAGCTGCTTCTAAGAAACAAAGACATCCAGGGAAACAGGCAAAGCTCGGTATTAACAGGCATTAGATTTGGTAGCACGCTGAATTTCAGTTGGGACCAATTCTTTTGGGGAAAAGATGTCGAAAGGCATTCAGGTTCAACCACCTTAAAACTTAGCAGCTGTGACTTTGAATTCAATTGATATGCCTTGCATTTCTCTCCATTTGCTATACATCCTCTGATGCACGCACACGGTTGCCTTGACGCTTCAGCTGGTAGCCTCAGCTTCAACTGAACGATCACAGTCCCAGCTAGTGCAATCATTTACAGGTAGTAACTTATTACCTGGAGTATCCTTCATGTCGCTCCTCAGTAAGTCCCTTCAGCAGGCAGATCACACGCTGTGGATGCAGATGGTCTCCGGCTGTCTCCCAGAATCACTGGTAATGAATGGAAGACCTTGGACTAGCTTCCTGGGGCTTATGGTATTGAATAGGCCACAGTTACTGGCTTCATGTATCATGCTAAAGCATTAGCTGCTTCGCAAGTATGGTGGCTGGGTTTGTATATTGGGCTAAACCAAAATGACAACAGAAGCACATTAGGGCTTAGCATAGCCAGCCACTGCAGGAGGAAAGCTGCGTTAGTCTATGGCAGCCAACAATCAGGAGTCTGGTAGCACCTTTTGACACTGACAACTTTTATGAGAAGGCCTAAGCTTTTGTGAAAGGAGCTGCTTTTGCCTTTTAGTAAAATGGGTTTGTCTGAAAAGATGCTACCAGATTCCTTCTGATTCACAGCTAGCCAGTGCCACATCTGTGGTGGTATGAGAAACATCCCAAGTTCTGAGGTTACGTCAGCATCACTCATGTTTTCCACATATTGGGCCCAGATCTGCCTGTACTTAAGCAAAACACTGTAGCTTTAACTCTAAGGTATAACAGCCTTATCCATCTTAACTAATTTGGATGGCAAGTGAAATAGAGATTTCTTATAGAAATCAAAAGGACAACAATAAGTTCAAAACAGCAAAAATCCTTTTTTATAACTCCAGGTCTTGTATCATTATGTTAAATACATTTGTTGGAAGATCCTGAAGAAATAAAACAAAATTTGATGACAATTTTACAGAGGCTAAAGTGTAGTAATTCTCTATCCTCATAAACTTTTGACAGTCTAAATCACCAGAAAGAAACAAATGGAGGTGTATTATGGATGTTAGTAAACTAATGGGAAAACTGAACTTCAGAGTTTAATGTTGTTGTTTTTTTAAATGCAGCCGTCTTTCATCTTTCAAAGCACAGACTCTCTGCAATGTATCATTAAATTTTTGTTATTTTCTCTTTTTAGAGTGCATTTTCTCTTTATTTATATTTATATATACACATATATACAGAGAAAAGGAAAATGAATTTTAAAAAGGTAAAAGTAGAATACAAGTTTTAAAAGCCCCATGCTTTCTCTTTTCTACCTGGCTTACATCTAATCAGTCTTTCTTGCTTTTAAAGCTTTGTTTTTTATTCTCTTTATTTCTTTAGGCTGCTTCTTTCTAGGCTTTTTCTTTTTCCTAGCCATTGCTTCAAACTGAGGTTCTGCTCCACTCCTTTCTTCTTCCAAGTACCTCTCTGTTGCACCCAACTTCATAGCTCACTTTTATACCTTTCCCTAACTCTGCTGAATTTTGTTTCTCCCTCTCTTTGGGGCAAAGGTCACCTCCCTGGCCAGAGATCTCAGGATTCCCACAGGACAAACTAATAGGGAAAAGAACCCAAGATGGGCAGGATTCCTAAAAAAGAAAAAGTTATAAACAATTCCATCTGAGGATTGGGAAGAGGGAATGGAGGACAGCAGGAAGGACCTTCAATGGAGCTAGAAAGAGGGAGGAGGAGTATATTCAGGCAACTTGGATATTTAGAAATGATATCAGAAAAAGCCAACTTTCAAAATGAGTCAAGGTTAGTGAAGGATGCTAAGAATAAGTAAAAGGGGTTGTTTAGACATGTTCAAAACAAAAAGGAAAGGGGGGGGGGGAATCTGTATACCAGCTGCTTACTGAAGATGCCAAAAGGTAACAGATCACAAAGATAGAACTGTTCAACTCCTCTTTTAGCTCCTTGTCTGAAGAAAGGGGAACTGCAGGCCAGATTGTGATTTCTATGTTGGAAGATTCTAGAGCAGGCCATAAAATGATTGATCAGTAAGCAGCTTGAGAACAATGCAGTAATAGTTAGAAGCCAAAGTGGGTTTACTGAGAAGTTTTCATTGTTTAACTGGGTATCTTTTTCTGTGCTTTAGGAAAGGCAGTAGACATAGGATGCCTTTAGCAAAGCATTTGACAAAGTACTCTGAGATTTTCATTAGCAAACGAGTTAACTGTGGGCTAGATGGTATGGCAATTAAGTGGATGCATAGCTGGCTCAAACAGCACTTAAAGAGTGCTCATCAGTTGTTTCTCTTTTGGGGCTGAGGTACAGGGCAGGGTGCTTTCAAATTTAGTTTGGGCCTAATGCTCTTCAACTTTTTTTTCTTTGTTTTTTTTAGCAGTTAGGGATCAATATCCAAGGTACATGGGAAAGAGAAGGCAATAGAATGAAAAAAGTAGCAATTAAAAAGTAATAGTTGATCCCCAGTATGAGTGGATGTGCCCAATTACACTCAGTGTCAACTCATTTAAATGACTTTGATGAAGAGGTGAAGGGAATACTCGTGAATTTGTGGATGATGTAAAATTGGAAGAAAAGTTCATTCAGCTGGAACTAACTGTAAGGTCTTTTTCTCTACAGAGGGGGAAATATGATATCCCAAAATGGCTTTCACCTGGCAGTATCCTGCTTCTGCATCAGATGTTGCAGGTAAGCTTCAGAGGCAAAGAAAGTTCTCGTTAGACCACAAACATTCCAAGATATCAAGACCATACTCAGTTCAACTCTTCCCACTCCACTTCTGTCAGCCTTCTTCTAACGGTGACCTCCATCCATTGTTCTGTTAATCAACAGCTGGTATTGAGGTAGTCTGCCTTTGAATATGGAAGTTCTATTACACTATGGTAGCTAAAAGTTGTCAATAGACCTGTTTCCTATACACCTGTTCAACTGGATCTGATAGAGTAATTTACCTTGAAGAGCAAAACCACTCAGTGGCCTTAAGAGTCAATGCTACAATGCCTGAAAACTTAGGGATGCTCTTCTTAACAGCACTGACTCCTCTTAATTGCAGATCAATGCTAAGATACCTTTTCTAATCCCTATATATGTACCTATCAGCTGTCTATATTTTAAACTGTATTTCTTTTCTTGACCACTAGGTGGACCCAAAGAAACGGATTATGGTTAAGCATCTTTTACATCACCCCTGGCTCATGCAGGGCTACTCCTTTGCTGTCCAGTGGCAAAGTAAATATCCTGTGAGTTAATTAATTTATAAGAATGAGAGCATATGTAAGAGAACCTAGGCTGATGTGATTAGTGAATAGTTTAATCATCAATTCCAAAGGAAGCATACTATTAAAAATTTTTAGGTTAAGAACTTAAACTTTCTGAATAACGTGATGGGTACCATATTATTCTTGTATGGAAAATTCACTGCTAAGCAATCTTCTGCCTCTGAGTTTCTAGAGCAAAATCAAGAGATACCATTATTCTACCAGTTGCCATTTCTAAGTTCATTACAATAATTCACAATGTACATGAGACTCAAATTTTGGGAAGAGCAATATACAAATGATATACTGTCTTCAGCTATAACCTTCTTTTATACTAACCTATTTAATATATTTTCAAAGCTCTTTAATATCAGTCAAACTGAGCAGTTATCAAAATAAATATTTTTTTTTCCAGTGAACACTTCCATGATCCTGATCCTCTGAAGATATAGTTCCAAGAAAACTACCTTTTATACCAGGCTATACTGCTTGCCCAGCATTATCTATTCTGATTAACACACATTATCCTGGGTCTTAAACATGGGTCTTCAGAAGGCCTTCAGAAGACTGGGTGGGGGGAGCCACTTGGATATCCCACTTGAAATTAAGGACTTCAGCTGCAGCTATCGTACTGCTCTCCCGCCCCCCACAAAACAGTGTCTTTCTTTCCCTACCTCCTATTACCTGCCGCCACGGACATCCTTGGCTTTCTCCAGCTCCTCTACTCTAAGGCACTTCTCCCCAAAAACATACACATTTGAAAACAGGCTGAACACACCTTTCAGCCCAGACACAGATCACTGGAAACGAATTGCTCCATGCACAAAATGCTCGCACCTCCACATTTAAAATATAGGTAGTCTAGTATAAAAATACTCAGACGACTGTCCTCAGAACTTAGCAGCGCATCTGATGCTGAGCTTCTCTTATACATAGGAAATGGATCAAATGAAAAACCAAGACTTCCTGCTGTCCATTGGGTTCCACCACTTCTCTACTGTGGAGCGTTTTAGTTTGCTTTGTGCTTGTGCTACAAGTATTGAAACTGATTTTGTTTCTATTCGTTAACAGCTCTGTTTTTATTCTCCGTTGTGGTATCATTTTTAAAAAAAGAAAACGTTCATACTTTCAGACCTTAACTGCAATATATCAATGATTTTTCCCCCAGCTTGGGTCCCTTGATGAAGATTGCATAACAGAACTTTCGGTGTTCCATAAATGTAGCAGAGAAAGAATGGCAGATGTAATCTCAGAGGTAACATTTGTCTTCAATAATTCTTGGAAAGTCTAAAGGAGTAAAAATGCATTCATTCCTGTACATAAAGCTAGATACTCAGAGCTAACCTATTTTGACATTAGGTTAAACTTATAAATATGTTTGTGACTGTAAACACTTAATTGAAGCCCTTTCTGGAAGCTCTGAAACTGTAGGATGTTCCATGTAGACTGACTTCCCTTGCTCAAAACTCATGAGTTCCAAAGAGTATCTTTGAAGAAACTTGCTGGGGGCTCCTCCTTGCCAACTATTACATGTCCATTTATTGGCCACAGCGGCTGGGAGGAAGGGTTGGAGTCCATTTCAGATCACATTCTGAGCTCCCATAGATCAGTAGTGAAAGTCAAAGGCTTGAGTTAGGGACTTAAGCATCTGAGACTAGGTGCTTCCTCCATGAGCAGCTTCTGGTCCAATCTCTGCTGTGCTTCTGTTCTTTTGTACGTATTCAATTTTAATTGTTTAAGTTTCTAGGCATCTCCAAATAGACACACTCTGAGCGGCTTGCAGCTCCCACACACAGTGTTACGATTAAAACAGTATAAACACACACACACACACACAAAATAAACCGATAATCCAAAAACCAAAATCTATGTAAGTCAGACAGAGTCTTTCTGATTGCATAGAAATATGTTTATGAATACAGTGGTCTTTCTCCCCACATATTCAGGTGCCACTTCCCTTGGGAGGAACATCCTAATTCTGTTCCATTCCCCAAAGATGGGGAAGACAGATTATCATTGCTCTGTGAAATCCTGTGAAGGGTTATCACAGGGGTAGGCTATTCTAGGGGTGGGGGGCTATCACCAACCAAGCTCATCCTTGGGGTTCTGTTGATAACAGTCCTTCAGAGGTGGGACTTGTAACATGTCCTCCTTCAGCTGTCTCAGTAGAAGGGAAAATTCTATCCAGTGTAGACAGTCTTAAAGTTATCCGGGAACTAAGCCATATAGGGCTTTAAAGGTAATAACCAGAACTTTGAATTATTCTCAGAAGCTAACTAGCAATCAGTGCAGCTCCTGCAGAAAAGGTGTCAGATGGGCAAACTGAACCAAGCCCATAACTACCCAAGCGTGCTGCATTTTGGACCAGTGTAGCTTTCAAATGATCCTCAAGGGCAGCCTCATGTAGAGCAGGCTGCCATCATCCATCTGTAGCTCGTCACCTGAACCAGAACATTGCAATTTGAGCCGATCATGGCCTCGCTGGCTTGATACAATCTGTTGTGAATACCAGGCTGCAGGGCAGACTTTCACATCTGGCCAGCTTACAAGCCAGACAGGCACAGACATAGAATCCACTTTTTCATGAAGAAGATACGTCCCCTGTCATATATACAGAAAGCTGTCCCAGCTCCTTCCTCTATTTTGGGTATAGAAAAAGAAAGACAGAAGTCGCTGGACCAAAGCTAGATAAAGAGGAGATTAACACTGTTTCCCAGAGTCTCAGATCAGAGTTTGAAATTTAAGGGAAAAAAAAGTCCAGGAAAATTGAAGTAGAGGAACAGATGCTTGAGGTAGTGTTTCTGAAGGAAAAGATAAGGAATGCGTATTATAGTTTTGATGTTTGTTTGTGGTCTAAAACTCTCCTGTCATTTCTCTGTGCAAGCTCAGTAATTGTATGGACTTTGGCCTTATGCATCAGGTAATAATTTCCCTCTTTTGTGATTTGGAATAATCGTGTAAAATCTCACTCGAAGATCTTTACAGTGAACTATTTTTTATTTGTAGCCAGCACCACCTTGTGGTCTGCCTAGAGCACTGTCATTTCTTTTGCAATTTCCTTTTACAGCTGCCTTTTTCCTATGGTTTGGACCGCTCTATTTATTTTCCTAAACAGGGAATGTTGGCTTTAATATCTAAAGCAGTGTTGTCCAAACCTGGCCACTTTAAGATGAGTGGACTTCAACTCCCAGAA